AACTCGGCGAAGGCTGAGGCAGAGGATCGCTTCAGCCCAGGAGTTTGAGGTTGCTGTGAGCTAGGCCTATACCATGGCACTCTAGCCTGGGCACGGCAACAGAGTGAGACACTGTCTCAAAAAAAAAAAAAAAAAATCATCCTTATGCTCCAAGATAAACATAACTAGTCTAATAAGGTATAATTACTATACGCTAATCGGCTTTTTTCTTCAATGTTCAACAGTTTTGCTATAATTTTGCCTATTTTTCAGTTGATTAGGACCATGCATTTTCCATGACATTTATATCATAACTTTCAAATATACTATAATCACATAATCGTAACTTATGTGGAATATACAGCATGAGTAAAGGTTACCATTTCCTGATCACATCCTCATGTAATTTCTAACTCCTTACAAACATCCTGCAAAGTTAACTATGATGGCGGGTCGGTGCTCCAACCTATAATCCTAGCATCTCTGGGAGGCCGAAGCGGGCAGATTGCTCAAGTCAGGAGTTTGAAACCAACCTGAGCAAAGACGAGACCCCATCTCTACTATAAATAAAAAGAAATTAATTGGACAACTAATATAGATAGAAAAAATTAGCCCATTGGTGCATGCCTGTAATCCCAGCTACTCGGGAGGCCGAGGCAGTTTAGGGATACTCAGAAGGCTGAGGCAGGAGGATCACTTGAGCCATGGAGTTTGAGGTTGCTGTGAGCTAGGCTGACGCCACGGCACTCACTCTAGCCTGGGCAACAGAGTGAGACTCTGCCTCCAAAAAAAAAAAAAATTATTTCTTTCCTCTTTCTTAACTACATACTTTTTAAACACAAGGTCTAAAACCTTTAGGTTTCCTGCAAAGGACAATCTTAAATAATGTGTTCTCCCCTTTCATTTCCTTAATTCTAAACAATACAAACAAGAGTTACACGAAAACTTACCTGTACCACTTGTTTCTGTGGTTGTATTGCTTGTGTTGCAGAAATCTGTGTTTTTTCCCGAGCACCTCGGCAACGGTCTCCACTCACTGTAGTCATCATATACAGCATATACAAAATAACGTATGTACAAAAAACAAAATCTGCAAGAAAATAGGAATGGTAAGCAAAATCTCCAAATCATAGTATAAGGCAAGCATATACATAATTCAGGGGAAAAGAGGACATGAGATAAAAGACAAAAGCTCTCTGGAATACAAATTCTCAAGCAGCAGACCCTTAGGATTTTAAATTTTGCTGATAGCTCTTTTTTTCCTTTAGAAATAGGGTCTCACTGTGTTGCCCAGGCTGGAGTGCAGTGGAGCCATCATAACTCACTCCAGCCTTGAACTCCTGGGCTCAAGTGATCCTCCCAACTTGGCCTCCTGAGTAGCTAGGACTATATATAGGCTCATGCCACCACATCTGGCTAATTTTTTAAAAAATTTTTGTAGAGACAAGGTCTCACTATGCTGCCCAAGCTGGTCTCGAACTCCTAGGCTCAAGCAACCCTCCCATTTAAGCCTCCCAAAATGCTGAAATTAGAAGCATGAGCCACCACACTTGGCCTGCTGGTGGTTTTTAAACTAATTTACTAAAGCAATCTAATAAGTCTGTGGTTTATGATTTTAGCAATTCTATTTTTTGGTTTTTTAGGGTTTTTTTTTAGAGTCTCACTTTGTTGCCCAGGCTAGAGTGAGTGCCTTGACATCAGCCTGGCTCTCAGCAACCTCAAACTCCTGGGCTCAAGCAATCCTACTGCCTCAGCCTCCCAAGGAGCTGGGACTACAGGCATGTGCCACCATGCCCAGCTAATTTTTTCTATATATATTGGTTGGCCATTAATTTCTTTCTATTTATAGTAGAGACAGGGTCGCTCTTGCTCAGGCTGGTTTCAAACTCCTGACCTCGAGCAATCCGCCGCCTCGGGCCCCCAGAGAGCTAGGATTATAGGCGTGGCAGCACCCGGCCTTTTCTATATAATTTTTAGTTGGCCAATTATTTCTTTCTATCTTTAGTAGAGACAGGGTCTTTCTCTTGCTCAGGATGGTCTTGAACTCCTGACCTCAAAAGATCCTCTGGCCTCAGCCTCCCAGAGTGTTAGGATTATAGGCGTGAGCCACCACACCTGGCCTTACAAAAGTAAAATTTTTTAAATTATGTCAGCATGGTGACTCTGCATGTAGTCTCAAGTACGCAGGAGACTGAGACAGCAGATCACCTGAGCCTAGGATTAGAGGCTACACTGTGAGCTATGATCATGCCACTGCACTCCAGCCTGAACAACAACAAAAGACCCTATCTCTGAAAAAAATAAATAAATAAACCATAAGCATTATACAAATATAAGAATATATTTGTTTTCCTGATGTAAAGAGATCTATTTGATTATTTCTAAAATCACTTCCAGTACTAATACTTTGTAATTGTACCTTATGTGCCTAAAGTTAAACATTCAATCAAAACCTGCCTGGTTGAGTCATACTCCTAAGGGTAAAACTTTAAAAATAAAATCATTGGTAGTTTACTTCCAGGTTACAGTTATGTTGATTGAATTATCTGACTTTTCCCACTCATCTTTTGAATGTTTATTCCTCAGTGCCCCATTTATGAAATAATCTAAGTACATAACAAAATGACATTCTCCTTATAGCAGTGCCATCTGGTGATGAAAATCTGCATGTACAAAAGGACACACTTAACCTAGTTGAATGGATGCTACAACTGAATTTTTATTACAAAACACAACTTTAATCTTCACAGCCTCAAAATTACAACCAAACATTATTTTGGTATAATGTACATCAATCCTCACTTGTCAATGAGGAAACCATAAACTCTTTGTTATATTTCAACTATGAAAATCTTCTAGTTCACTGTTCTCCAATTTTTTTTTGGTTTTCTTGAGGCAGAGTCTCACTGTGTTGCCAGCGTAGAGTGCCATGGCGTCAACCTAGCTCACAGCAACCTCAAACTCCTGGGCTCAGCGATCCTTCTGCCTTAGCTTCCCAAGTAGCTGGGACTACAGGCACGCGCCACCATAGCCCGGCTAATTATTTTTTATATATTTTTAGTTGTCCAGCTATTTATTTCTATTTTTAGTAGATACGGGGTCTCACTCTTGTTCAGGCTGCTCTCAACTCCTGACCTCGAGAGATCTCTTCCCTCCTCGGCCTCCCAGAGTGCTAGGTTACAGGAATGAGCCAACACGTCTGGCCTAATCAATTCTTAACATAAAATATTCCATAATGAGTATGTAATTAGGCTATAATAATGGTCCCATTTTCATGGTTAAACTACAATTGCTTTGTGAAACATGAAAAGACATTGCTTACTTTATGTCAAAGTATTATTTAGAAATGACACTTTTTGTCTTTTAATTAGGTTTACTTGCTCTGGTTTATATTTTATAAATTGTACTATAAAAGGCCCTTGGCTTGGCCAGGCGCGGTGGCTCACACCTGTAATCTAGCATTCTGGGAGGCTGAGACGGGCGGAAATGCTCGGAAATACGGAGTTCGAAACCAGCTGAGCAAGAGAGAAGACACCGTCTCTACTATAAAAATAGAAAGAATAATTTCTTTCTATTGGCCAACTTATATACATAGAAAAAATTAGCCAGGCATAGTGGTGCATGCCTGTAGTCCCAGTCACTCGGGAGGCTGAGGCAGCAGGACTGCTTGAGCCCAGGAGTCTGAGGTTGCTGTGAGCTAGGCTGACGCCACAGCACTCACTCTAGCCTGGACAACAAAGCAAGACTCTGTCTTAAAAAAAAAAAAAAAAAAAAAAAAAAGCCCTTGGCTTAAAAATTGCCAACATATTCCTTAAAAAAAAAACTTTAGACCGGCGCTGTGGCTCACGCCTGTAATCCTAGCTCTTGGGAGCCGAGGCGGGCGGATTGTCAAGGTCAGGAGTTCAAAACCAGCTGAGCAAGAGCGAGACCCGTCTCTACTATAAAAAAACAGAAAGAAATTAATTGGCCAACTGATATATATATAAAAAATAGCCGGGCATAGTGGCACATGCCTGTAGTCCCAGCTACTCGGGAGGCTGAGGCAGAAGGATCACTCGAGCCAGAGTTTGAGGTTGCTGTGAGCTAGGCTGACGCCACGGCACTCACTCTAGCCTGGACAACAAAGTGAGACTCTGTCTCAAAAAAAAAAAAAAAAAAACTTTAGAAATAATAATAATAAATAATAACAATAATGGTCCTGGAACATGCAAAAATGAATGATTAAACAAATTCAGACTAGCTGTTTTCTGTCAGTTATGGCTCTCCCATACTAACACAAATGTCAGAATAGCTGATTTCCTATTCATAAAGAAGATTTTAATGTTTCATCTCTGGCAACAAAATGTCCAGAGAAGAAACTGAAGTTTTGTAGAATAAACAAAGGAGGGTGGGGAGGAGTAACTAAAATCCTCTGGAAAAACAGAGCTCAAAAAATATATAAACAGAATGCAAAATTCAACAACCAAATCTCTTATATTAGTTTTACATAAAACTTCTGAAAACAGTGAATTCTTAAATTAAGGTAAAAAAGCTTAAGTTATCAAAATAATCAACACCCTTAAAAATCGTTACCACCAAGCCAGGCACAGTGGTGCACACATGTAGCACCAGCTACTCAGGAGGCTGAGGCGGGAGGATGGCTTGACCCCAGGAGTTCGAGGCCATCCTGGGCAACAGAGAGACCCTATGTCTTTAAAAAAAGAAAAAGAACCGTTACCACCACTGAATTGTGAAAATGACTAGGGCATGGAAACTAAACTATAAAAATCAACACCTTCGACTCATATACTGTCATGAGGAAATTCTATGTCCTCTTATTCTAGAAACAGAGCTGCTATGTGTAATAAATAGGAAGGCTTGTGCAACAAGTATCCAGTTGCCAGATCATAGGAATTCAGTTTACACTCGTGTTCCATCCCCACTCTATCATCTCCACCCTACAAGAGTTCTACTACCCTGGAACAAGTTCCAAGAGAATGCTTAGAATAGAAACAGGCACGAGGAAGAGATTCTAAAAATAATCTAGTAGAAACTCAAACATATATATCTCAGGTTCTTGAGCTGCAGGAAGAAGCACCGGGTTATTTCAATCTATCCAACCAAATTTTAAAACCCATATTTACTTCACCTTATTCAAAGTCAATTTAGGATGTATTTTAACAAAGGTAAGAACTGCTGCTCCATTTTTTAACTTCTTCAAAACAAAAATCAGCAAAATACCACAGAAAGCTTCCTAGATTGAAATGCAAAAATGGTCTAAATTAATTGTAATATAAAGAAAGTAAACCTGCAGAATAAACAAACTTGATCAAACTAAAGATTTTCTATGTAAAAGAAACATTTTTAGAAAAAGTCTAAAATCCTGTTTTTTTCAAGGACTCTTTTGAGATAAGATACCTCAGTGAAACAGCTGCCTTTTTAAGTGATCTCAGTTTAAGAAGGAACTGAAAATAGTTGACTTAACAGCCACCTGTAATTCTGCTAAAACTTATGTAAGCAAATAACACAAATACATCATTCGGACCCTAACTTTAAGGCATGAAAAAAAAGCACTGTTGGGTAAAACTTATCTAAAACTCATGTAACATCATACCTTGAAAGAAAAACAAGGACACATTCCATCATTCTGAAAAGTTACAGAATGTTTGTTAACAACATGCTGTGAATAACGAAAATTTCAATAGCCATTTAATAAAATTTTGAACAGATCATTAAATCCCAAATTACAGACACATACTGTACTTATTCAAGGTAGCATCACCAAGTGTCAGGACCAGAAGATACCTCCAAAACCATGATGTTGACACCTTCATGTACAGTATCTCAGCTAATGCATAAATTTACATTCCAGGAACAGTAAAATGAATGGTTTTTTCCCCAAAAACTGTATATAATTAATCTAGACATCATGAACTACAAAATGGACTAACGGTTCAACCACTAAAAATAGGATACACAATTAATATTCAAAAAGTCAGGTCTCAGGCAGGCCGATGGCTTACGTCTGCCTGTAATCGTAGCACTCTGGGAGGCCAAGGTGGGAAGATCTCTCAAGGTCAGGAGTTTAAAATCAGCCTGAGCAAGAGCGAG